CCTCCTCCTCTTCCCCTCCTCGTCTCCTCCTCCACCCTCTCCCCCCGTCCTCCTCCGCCTCTCCTCCTCCTCCTGCTCGTCTCTCTCCTCCCCCCCGCCTTTTCCTCCTCCACCGCTCTCTTATCTCCGCCTCCTCCTCCTTCTCCTCCCCTCCTCCTCCGTCCTCTCCCCGTCCCCGTCCCCCCCTTCCTCCCTCCTCTCCTCCCTCCTCCCCTCCCCTCCTCCTCCTCCCTCCCCCTCCTCCCTCCTCCATCCTCCCTCCTCCCCCCTCCTCCTCCTCCTCCTCAGCCTCCTCCTCCTCCTCCTCCTCCTCCTCCTCCTCTCCCCCTCCGTCCTCCTCCTCCTCCTCCTCCTCCTCCTCTCTCCCTCCTCCTCCTCCGCCTCCCTCTCCTCCGCCTCTATCCTCCGCCTCCCCTCCTCTCTCACCCTCCCTCTCCCTCCTCCCTCCTCCCTCCTCCCTCCTCCCTCCTCCTCCTCGCATCCTCCCTCCTCACTCCCCCCCCTTCTCCTCCTCTCCCTCCTCCTCCTCCTCCTCCTCCTCCTCCTCCTCCTCCTCCTCCTTCCTCCTCCGCCTCCCCCCTCCCCTCCTCCTCCTCCTCATCCTACTCCTCCTCCTCCTCCTCCTCCTCCTCCTCCTCCTCCTCTACTCTTGCCCGCCCGCGGTGCCAGAGGAGATCTCCGACTTCAGCGGGAACGGGTCCCTGCTGCAGCGTGGCTTCCCGTGGGGGATCACCCATGTGTCTGGGCAGCTGAAGCCACAGCACCGATCGAGATTCGGCCTCCCCCCCTCCTCTCGCGGTGTCGGCGCCCACGGGCCGCTTTCGAGCCCGCGGGGGCGCGAAGACAGCCGCGCCTCGCGCCTCGGCGGTCTTGGGCTGGAGGGGCACCACTCTCCCGGGAGCGGGGCCGCGCGAGAGGGCGCGAAGATCGCCGCGCTCCCCGCTCGTGTCCCCTGGCGCGCGGCGCGATGGCGCGATGGCGGCGGCAGGCCCAGTGCTGCTCGCTGCCCCGCAAGAGGTGGGCGCCGACAAGGACCGCCAGGGGGGCCTCGGGGTGCACGTCTACGTGCTGGACACCGGCATCCGCACCACCCACCGGGACTTCGGCGGTCGGGCGGTGCCCACCCTGGAGACGTTCCAGAACTACGTCAGGCTGTGCAACCCGCGCGACGCGAACTGCGCGGCGGACCGGCAGGGCCACGGCACGCACTGCGCGGGCACCGTGGGGGGCCTCCAGGCGGGCATCGCGCCCCAGGCCACCCTGCACGCGGTGAAGTCCATGGGCGATCAGGGCCAGGGGGCCGTGTCCAACATCCTCGGGGCGATCGACTGGGTCGTGCGGAGCGGGCCGCGCCCAGGCGTCCTCAGCATGAGCCTGGGCGGCCAGGGCCGCCTCCACGCCTACCAGCGGGCGGTCGACACGGCGGTGCAGAGTGGCCTCGTCGTGATGGTGGCTGCCGGCAACGACAACGACGATGCCTGCCAGTACAGCCCCGCGTTCGTGCCCAGCGCCATCGCGGTGGGCGCCACCACGTGGCAGAACCAGCGCTCAGGGTTCAGCAACTTCGGCAGCTGCGTCAACATCTTCGCCCCCGGCTCGGACATCCAATCGGCGTCGCACCTCAGCGACAGCGACTTTGCCACCCAGAGCGGTACCTCCATGGCGTGCCCGCACGTCGCGGGTGCCGCCGCCAGGCTGCTGCAGCTGCACCCGCGGTGGAATCAGTACAACATCTACCAGCAGCTCCAGAAGTCGGGGCTGATCAACTACGTCCACGATGCCCGTGGCTCGGTCAATTTGCTGCTGAGGGTCTAGGGTCCAGGGTCTAGGGTCTAGGCCCCAGGCCTGCAAGCGACCGTTGCGGGAGTGGCGATCCCCCTGCTCGCCGCCCCCTTGCAGCTGCGCGTGGTGGAGCTCCAGCGGAGAAATATCTCCCACATCCCCAACAATCGCCATCGCACGTGCAGCACTGCAAGGCAGCGCGCCATCACGACGATATCCCTGACAAAAGCCACGACCACAGATCACGACCCAATCTTCATGTAGGATTTCCTGGCCGAGGCCGCGCTGAACGCCGTGCGGGGGATCCGGGATCACCTGCAGAAGTCGGCGGAGGCCAGCGGAAGTCCTGCCGTAGGACCCAGGTGGCCCCATCTGGCCATCCAAGGCGCCTCCAGGATCGATGGTGAGGTCCCCACGAGAGCATCAAGACGCGCCGAGAAGCTTCTTTGACAGCCTCAAGAGCCGACGGTGCCCTCAATGTGCCCTAGCATGGCCCGCGAGGGCTCTATGAGCCCTCCAAGGAAGTCTCAGGCTGCACTCGAGAGAGCCGAACATCTATCTATGCGATCGGATGTTTTCAATGCTTTGTCCCCAGCCTTGCCCCATTCACGCGCCGCCAGCAGATGATGTGCGCGCTCCCCCAAATACAAATTGCCAAGCTAAGCGGTCGCCTCAATGAGTGCCCGAGGTTGGTCGCGTCGGTGCGCTCGCCGCGCCAGACACTCCTGCTCCTTTGCGACCTTCTCTGTCCCGCCTTGCGAGGAGATCAACTTCGATGCGGCGTTCAGGCATGGGCGAGAGGCACCTCTTTGGGGGTACGCAGGTTCAAGATCTCCTGGCTGTGATGGGGTGAAGGGCAATGCCTGCAGTGTGGCGCTTCTGCAGGGTGGGTAGGCAGGTGCGGCCTCGAGATGTCGCCAGAGGGCAAGAGCCAAGGAAGGAAGAGTGCAGGCATGAAGTCGTCAGTCGTGCAGTCGCCGGTAGGGCACGCAGCCTGCAGTGTCCTTCGGAGCGAGACTCACCGTGTGAAGGCACGACGCGCCGCAGTGGGCTCCGACGGGCGTCGGAGGAGCCCAGCCCGTGCTGCATCGTCGCGTGTGGACTGATTCGAGCAGAGGGGCACGCACGAGTCCCAGAGGCCAGGCGCACAGGTCCCGTCCGCGGGCGCGGTGTCCCGCGCGCCCGTGGCCGGCCGCCGCCGGCCGCCGCCGGCCGCCGAGGGCCCGCCGAAGGCCCGCCGAAGGCCGCCGAAGGCCCGCCGAAGGCCCGCCGAAGGCCCGCCGAAGGCCTGCCGAAGGCCCGCCGAAGGCCCGCCAAAAGGCCCGCCGCAGGCCAGCCGAGGGCTCGCCGAGGGCCGCAGGTGGTCCGCCGAGGGCCGCCGAGGGCGCGCCGGGGGCCGCGGACGGCCAGCCGATGGCCGCTGCAGGCCGCGGGGGGGCTATACGCACGACAGGCGCCGCGCCGCGAGGCCGCAGCCACGTGTCACGGGCGATGGGCCACGGGCCGCCGAGCAGGCCCCAGCGCCTGCCCTCCGCGAGGCTGCCGCGGGAGTGCACAGGCCAGAGGCACGGTGCAAGCCATCGGATCGCTGGGGGCGCTCCAGAGAGGGCCCCGCCTCCGAGGAACTGAGAAGCCGACCCTTTCGGGGGATGGCGGCGGAAGGTCGGCGGAACACGGGGGAGGCGGAGCGATGGTGGCTCCGCCGCGGAAGCCAGCAGAATCTCGGCGGAAGTCAGTACCAGATGTTTTTGAACTCAGGGTTTCTGGTGCGGTCCAATTCTTGCGCCCCACCTCCCACGCGAGGCGCCCGCGACGTGCCCTGGGCCACCAACCGTGAGGCCATGGAGCCATGCGGCACGGTGTCCAGAGGCTGCGGGCAGTTGCTACGATCCACCTGATCGGTTCGTGCGCCCCGCAGCCGGCACAACCATGGGCACCGTCTCCTGATGATTGCCTGCAGAGAGACCCCCAAATATCGATTTGCGCTTCCAGACGGTCGCTCGACAGGCTGAACGCCGTCGCACACACGAGGTCCGCGACCGATCCACCCTCCCCTCCCTCCCTCTCGCACTTCGGGTGGGGAGAGGGAGGGACGTTGAGGAGAGCATGAAGGAGGAGAGCGCAGCTAAGGAGGGATCAACGACGTCGATCCCTCCCGACACACCTCAGCCACCCTGGGGGCCTTCCTGGAAGCCCAGGGCCAGCTGGCTGCCAGTTCCCCGCCGACCGAACTGGACTGATGGGTTTATTTTCCACCACCAATACCATAGGTAGCACGGGGGAGAGGGGAGGATGGGGAGGTCCTCCTCCTCCTCCTCCTCCTCCCCCTCCTCCTCCTCCTCCTCCTCCTCCTCCTCCTCCTCCTCCTCCTTCTCCTCCTCCCCCCCTCCTACCTATGGTAGTGGTGGCGGAAAATCGGCCCATCATGGACGCTGAGCGCCGCCGATCGGGCGAGAAGGACGCCTCGTCGAGTGGTGTCCGCTGGTCCCGCCAGGAGGGCAGGCCCTGCGCGGCCATCGGAGAGCAGCAGATCTCGACACCACCGACACAGGTGCCGTACACCCGTCAGAATTCTAAGAATTATCGTCAACTTCGTTGCCGAACGTCAAGACTCTGGACTGCACCCTCGGCGCATTCTCGGAGCCTCCTTCCTGTCGTAGAAGTTCCGTGCACCTGAACACGGGCTGCTGCTTCAGAAAACGCTGGGCGTGTATTCTCGTAGCCTCCTTTTCTTTAGAACTCAGAGCTGGCGTGTATCATCACTCGGATGCAACTCCTGGGAGGTCAAGTTCTGATTTCGCCTTAGTCCGAATTCCGGCTTTATCTGGCTCAATCCTGCTTAATCCCGCTGAATCCGGCTTAATCCCGCCAAACCTGGCTCAATCCCGCTTGATGCGAGGCCCAATCTGGCGTAACAGCGCCCCACCGGGGCTTAATCCTCCTTAATCCTTCCGACGAAGACTTCCCAGTAGTTGCCTCCTAATCATCAGAAGCCCCGCCTCGTGGCCCTGCTCGTCTGCAGCCCAGCGCCGCGCCTCGCCCACCAGGCTTCAGTCGGGCCTGTCCTCCTGCAGAGGGGGTTTTGGACGAACAATAATGAATACCCCACAAATGCCGCCAAATGGTCAAAGAATATCCCCAAACTCCCCCCCAGACTATTTTTTTGACTACTTTTGAACATCCCCCCCCGTAGAGGGACGCGCCCGACTTCACACCAGGCGGCCGTGCAGTGGGCCCGGCACACCAAGCTCGAGCTGCAGGCCGGGCGCGGCCGCCCGCCGCCCGGCTGGCCCGCCCTCTCTGGCCGCCTGCTGCTCGGCCGCCGCGCTCCGCGGGCGGGCGCCGCGGGTCCTGCGGACGCCGCCGCCGCCGTCGGCGGCGTCGTCGTCGTCGTCGTCGCCGTCGTCGTCGTCGTCGTCGTCGTCGTCGTCGTCGTCGTCGTCGTCGTTCGTGGACGTCGTCGTTCGTGGACGTCGTCGTCGTCGTCGTCGTCGTCGTCGTCGTCGTCGCCGTCGTCGTCGTCGCCGCCGTCGCCGTCGTCGTCGTCGCCGCCGTCGCCGTCGTCGTTCGTAGACGTCGTCGTCGTCGCCGATTCTGCGCGACGGTCCCCGATGGCCACGGCGGTCTCGGCTGGCGAGGAGGCAGGCAGGGAGGGATCGGGCGGGTCCAGGACGAGGAAAGTCCATTCTCGAAGAAGAGAAAATTACACAAACATACTCTTTTGGCGCTCCGCGCGGATTTCTTGAATCCGCGCCTGGCCCCCTCTACGGGAGGGACCGGGTGGGTTCGGTAACAAATCATGGGAGCCTGGTCTGCCCTCTTGATTCCGTCTTTAGCGTCGACTAGCGTCGATTAGCGTCTGGGAGTCGATGGGATGTGCAAATTTGGCGTCGATCACCGTCGATTTAGCGTCGATTAAGCGTCGATTAGCGTCGACTAGGCGGTGATTGGCGTCGATTCGCAAGAGCCGACCTGATGGTATGGGAGGCTCACATGAGTTCCCACCGAATGGCGGGGCTAGGACGAGGTTAAGTCCGTTCCAGAGCGTCTCGGAACAATCTCGGAGCGTTCCGGGACGCTCCGAGAAGGCCGAAGGCGCGCCCGAGGTATCCTGCAGAGCCGCCAGAGGTCAGAGATTCCCGACGCATCTTCGCCCGATGTTGTCCTCGTCCTGGCTTCGTCTTAAGGGAGGACGGGGGCGGAGGGGGGCCGCTGTTCGGCGCGCGCCCGCGGACGCAGGGCCGAGGCGAGGGGAGAGCCTGGGGTCGCGGTGTGCTCACGCCCCAGCGGTCTCGCCCCGCTTCGGGGCCCCTGGGGACCCTCGGAGATCGGTCCGGCTGGGAAGCTGCCACAGGGGCTGTCTGAGGAGTCAAGCAGGTGTGCCTGCATGGCGTTCCCCTCCCGCCCGCCTCCGCCGCCGTTTCCAACAACGCTGGGCCGCAGGAGCGTGCAAGTGAGCACTCCTTGCGTGGTGTCGGATCGCAGCGGAGCGTCTCGGGGTTGGCGTCGGTGGGCCGCCGCGTCGACGGTCGGCGCCGTCGGTCGGCGGCGGGGTGCGCCGCGTGCCGCGGGGGTGCTGCGTCTGACCTGTGGCATCTCTCGAGGAGCACAAAACGGCATCAACGGGTTCATGCCGCTTTTCTTTTTTTCATCTCGCACAGGATTAGGCATGGGGGGGGATGCAGGAGGAGCAAGGAGGAGCAAGGAGGATGGAGGAAGAGGAGGCGGAGGATGACTTGGAGGAGGGGGAGGGCGAGAGGTAGGAGAATGAGGCGGAGGAGTATGACCAGAGTAAACCCCAAGGTGCATCAGCGATGCTGCAATACACCATCCCGTCCCAAGTCTCCTCCTCAGACGCCCTGATAAAATAGAACAACCTCCCAGTCAACCACAAGAGGCGATCCGCCTTATGTCCTTGAAGCCGTTGCGACATTTGAGACACATGTGCTCGGCAATGGGTGGAGAGCCCCATTCTGAAGACGACCTGTGCGCACTCTCTGTAGCCGCTGCAAATTTTTAGTCCAGTGTGCGCGGCGCTAAGGCAACAGCCACAAGAAGATTTCCCACATCCTCGAAGCTGTTACACATTCCAAGCTTCAGGATGATCAGTTGTGAGGAGATCTCATGCGAAACGCCCGCTCTGCCAACACGTCTGGGCGGTGCGAGAGGGAGGAGTTGTTTACATGGAAGTAGGGCGGAAGAGGATGAGGAGGAGGATCAGGTGGGAGGGAGGTGAGGGTAGAGGAGTGGAGGGAGGGAGGGAGGGAGGGACGGGAGGGAGGAGAGGAAGGAGGTAGGTAGAGAGGTAAGGGAAGATGACAAGACAGAGAGAGAGAGAGAGAGAGAGAGAGAGAGGAAGAGAGAGAGAGAGAGAGAGAGAGAGGGAGAGAGGCATAGAGAGAGAGAGAGAGAGAAATAGATAACCAAAGAAAGAGAGAGAGAGAGGGAAAGAGAGATAGAGAGAGACAGAGAGAGACAGAGGAATATACATATATATATATATGGAAATACAGAGAGAGAGAGAGAGAGAGAGAGACAGAGAGAGAGAAAGAAAACATCAGAGGGGGGAGCTCGGAACTCGGAACCCGGGAACAGCTCATCGACAGCGGGCAATGACGAAAAGGGGAGGACCTCACCACTCCTGGAAGCAAGAGAAGGTCCCCCCCGGCGGACGGCCTGCCTCAAAGCCCTCCTGAAGCGGGCGGTGGCACGGCGTGCCTCGATCTCCGTCAGCCGAGGCGGCGGGGGCGGGGTGGGGGGTGGGGGCGGTGCCTGCGCGTCTGGAGAGGCGGACGCGGCCTCCAGCGCACGAGCGATCCGTTCCTCCGTGTCAGGATCAGGCTCCACGCCTGGCCTCCCCCCCGCATGCTTGGTAAGCTCGGCCTGGCCAGCACTCTTGGCTAGACTCTGACACTACCGCCTGCAACCAGCACTGCTGGAACAGGCACCTCGAGCTCGAGCTCAGCGACTGCAGAACTGCGACGCAGCGCAAATCATGCAGCAGTGCTGAGGACGAGCGTACAACGCAGAGCCGCAGCGAGCGGGAACGCTCTCCGAAGCGGAGCTACCGTGGTCTGGCAATGCAAGCTTGAAAATGAAGCGCAGAGTCGGAAACTGGAGCAAATACACTACCAGTGGCGGGCGGTTTCTCAATCTCTCAATCCCAGGACTTTTTCGAGGGTCGGGGACGACGTCGGGGTGGTGTGGTGTATACAGTTTCCCCGTTTGCCTGGGGAAGCAAGGAAGAATGTATACGCCAGGATCCCGTATACACCAGGATCCGCTTCCCTGTGCGAGATTCACTGTGAGGCCAGGCAAAGGCGTCGGTGTATAGAGTTCGGTTCCCTACAGAGGGCAAGGCACGAGCCTGAGCGGCAAGAGGCCGGCGGCGGCGGGCGGCGCCGGAGCCAGGTGGGCTGCCGCCTGCGCCGCCGCCAAAAGACAGTCCGGGGGCGACCCACGCAGAGGGGGCCACAAGGGAAGTGCAAGCACGCCAGAGGGGCCGTCAGCACAAGAGTTAAGTCGGGCGTGTCCCTCTACAGGAGGAACATTCCAAAATAGTAGATAGTCTTGGGACGATCTCTCCCTACCTAGGCTCTGCCTAGAAGGGTTCTTATTTTATTGCTTAAAGGGGCGGGCGGGCAGTGTTCCCCGCCCCGGGCGGTTCCCCCAGGATCCGCCCCGCGGTTCCCCCAGGATCCGCCCCCCGGGTTCACCCAGCTTAGCTTAGCTTAGCTTAGCTCAGCTTAGCTTAGCTCATCTTGGCTTTGCCTGGCCTAACTTGGCTTGGCTTAGCTTAGCTTAGCTTGGCTTGGCTTAGCTTAGCTTAGCTTAGCTTAGCTTAGCTTATTTTATCTTAGCTTAGCTTAGCTTAGCTTAGCTCAGCTTAGCTTGGCTTAACTTAGCTTAGCTTAGCTTAGACTAGCCTAGCTTAGCTTAGCTTAGCTTAACTTAGCTTAGCATAGCTTAGCTTACCTTAGCTTAGCGCAGCGCAGCATAGCGCAGCGCAGCATTAGCACAGCATATAATAGCATATCATAGCCAATCATACCATAACATAGCATAGCATAGCATAACATAGCTCAGCATATCATAGCATATCATATCATAGCATAGCATAGCATAGCGCACCATAACATATACTACCATATCATAGCATAGCATTGCTTAGCATAGCACAGCGCAGCATAGCATATCATAGCATATCATAGCGCACCCTAGCCTAGCCTAGCCTATCCCAGCATAGCATTGCGCAGCATATCATAACATATCATATCATAACATATCATAGCATAACAGAGCAGAGCATAGCATAGCATACCACATCATAGCATAGCATAGCGCAGCGCAGCATCCACTATTGCTGCTGCTAATGTTTCTTTCCTAGAGGCTCCAACTCCTAGGTAGGGTCGCACTGGGATATGATGCTTGATTAATTTCGGGTATTTTTTGAGTATTTTCTTTTTCGTCCCAAATCCGCCTGTAGGTGGACATGCCCGACCTAACACAAGAGTGAGGTGCCAAGGCCGTGCGACGCTGCCAGGAACGCATGCACACAAGGGGAACGGGCGGGGGGGGGGGCATTCGGAGGTGGACAGACCTCCTACCCTGACACGTCGATTCGCGTATTGGCCGTTTTCGGCTTGCGAGAGGGTGCCGCGGCCGTCATTTTCCAGGGTTGCGCCCACCAGATCTGGGCCCGAGGTTGTTTTCACTAAGCCACGTTTTACTAAAGGGGGTTCTGCCCATCTCCGAGGAGAGGCCACGGACGGCAGGACCAGGTGAGGACAGTCAAGCACCCGCGGACGAGCGCTCGGACGCTGGCCAAAGCGGCGTGCGAGACTGGGTGGAACGGCCCGATGGGCCGGCGATGAAGACTCGGCCAATGGGCCACACGCGAGCTGCTTCTCTGGCGACGTGGTCCTGAAGACCACAATGGGGAATGCCCGAGGTGAGCAGAGAGGAGAGATGTCAGGGGCAGAACAGGAGGGCGACCGGGGGCGACCCACAACGAGGGAGCCTGACCCGCAGACGTCGCAGGCGAATCGCACAGGACCTGAGCGGAGCCTATGCTCAGAAGTGCCAGCATGAACGGAAGGCAGGAGCAGATGCGGACAGCCGTACACCTGCGGATGCACATATAGCTCGAACGCAGGCCAAACTGGCGCGCGAGACAGGGTGAATCGGCCCGCTGGGCTGATGGTCGTATTTCGCCAATTTAGCTCGCCAGTGCTCATGGATTGTCTCAGGCGGAACGAACAGTGTACACGGCGTGAAGGCGAGAGCTACACTTATACCCCACACATCCTTGAAACTGATGCAAGCTTCAAGCTTCAGGATGAGAAGTTGTGAGGGGGTTTCAGGCGAAACGCCTGGCCCGCTCTACCAACACGTCGAGGGGGTGCGAGAGGGAGGAGTTATTTACAAGGAAATAGGACGGAAGATGATGATATTAGGAGGGAGGGAGGGGAGGGGAGGGGAGTGGAGGGAGAGAGGGAAGGAGGGACGGGAGGGAGAGGAGGAGGGAGTTAAGTAGAGAAGGGGGGATGGAGGGAAGGAAAGATGACGAGGCAGAGAAAGAGAGAGAGGGAGGGAGAGAGAGAGAGAGGGAGATACTGATAAAGAGAGAGAGAGGGAGACAGATAGAAAGAAAAGGCGGGGGGGGGAGAGAGAAAAAGAGAGAGAGAGAGAGAGGAATGGGTGAGGAAGGGTGGGAGGGTTGAAGGAGGGATGACTGGGGCCTGTATGACAAGGGTGTAGGCGGGATCAGGTGTAGCTCCCCAACGAGTGCTTACACTTAGGGGTGGGTTTCTAAGGAACTGGGCTCCGTTGTCGGGTCCGCCGCCTTGAGGTCGCCGTCACAGGCCCGTCGCCGCCTCGTCGCCGCCCGTCTTCTGGGCTCTGTCGTCGGGTCCGCCGCCTTGTGGTCGCCGTCACCGCCCCGTCGCCGCCCCGTCGCCGCCGCCCCATTGCAACCCCCTCCACTGCAATCGCATTCCTTTGCGCTGTTTTGCGTTGCACTGCTTCGCATTGTATTTCTTTGGTATTGATTTACATGGCGTTGCATCGCATCGTATTGCTTTGCATTGCATCGCTTTGCGTTTCTTTGCATTGTTCCCTACCTATACTCTGCCTAGGAGGGTTCTTACTTTGTAAGGTTAAAGGGCCGGGCAGTGTTCCTCGCCCTGGGCGGTTCCCCCGGCATCCGCCCCGCGGTTCCCCCAGTTGCGTCCCCTTAGCTTAGCGTTGCTTATTTCATCTTAGCATAGCTTATTTCATCTTAGATTAGCTTAGCTTCATCTTAGCTCAGGTTTATCTTAGCTTAGCTTACCTTACCTTCATCTTAGCTTCGCCGAGCTTTAGCATGGCAGATCACAGCATAGCATAGCGTAGCACAGCATAGCGCAGCACAACATATCATAGCATATCATAGCATAGCATAGCGCAGCATAGCATAGCATAGCATAGCATAGCATAGCATAGTATAGCGCAGCACAGCACAGCACAGCATAGCACAGCGCAGCATGGCAGAGCATAGCATAGCAGAGCATAGCATAACACAGCAGGCAGCAAAGCAAAGGCAAAGCAGCAGCAACGACAGCAAAGCAAAGCACAAGCAACGCAAAGCAAAGCAAAGCAAAAGCAAAAGCAAACGCAACAACAAAAGCAAAAGCAAAGCAAAGAAACGGCAAAGCAAAAGCAATGAGCAATGTGCAGATCTGTGGGTGTATTTTGTGGCGCTCGTGTGTGCCAACCGCGTTGCCAGTTTAGTTTTCTGTCCGGGTGATTTACATGGGTGTAATTTCCTACCTAGGCTCTGCCTGGAGGGTTAGCTTAGCTTAGCTTAGCATAGCGCAGCGCTGCATTCGCCTAGAATAGCATAGCATACCATAGCCAAGCATAGCATAGCGCAGCATAGCATAATATAGCATATCATAGCATAGCATGGCGCAGCTTAGCAGAGCATGGCATATCATAGCATAGCTTAGCATAGCACAGCGCAGCATGACATATCATAGCTTAGCATAGCATAGCATAGCATAGCATAGCGCAGCATAGCGCAGCATAGCATAACATAGCATATCATAGCGCAGCATAGCATGGCATAGCATAGCATAGCATAGCATAGGAACTAATGCTGCTTTCCTAGGGGCTCCAACTTCTAGGTAGCGTCGCACTGGGGTAATTTTGTATGGCTTTGTATTGTTTGGCCTTGCTTTGCATGGCTTTGTGTTGCTTTGCTTTGCTTTGCATTGTTATTGCGTTGCTTTCCGCAGCTATTGCATTGCTTTGCGTTGCTTTACATTGTCTCGCATTGCTTTGTATAGCATTGCATTGCTTTGCATTGCGTTGCATTGCTATCGCATTGATTTGCAGTCATCTGCATTTCTTTGCATGGCTTTCCATTGCTTGGCCTTGCAATACCACTGCAGTAGCATTGCTATCAAATTGCATTGCATTGAGTTGCACTGCGTTGCTGTGTGCTTTGCTCTGCATTGCATTGCTTTGCATTGCTTTTCATTGCAGCGTCGGTGTGCCCTCTCAAACGTGCCAGGCAGTCTTCACGAATAGTGCCGTGCTGTTCGTGGACGTTTGCAGCCACTGGCTGGCTGGGCCTACCACCAGCGCCCGCTCGTGTTCGTGATCATGCCGTCATGCCCTTCCGACGCGCCCAGGAGGCCCAGGTCGACCTCAGCCGCGAGCGCCGGGAGTTCCGCGAGGCCCCGCCGACGCGCCGCAGCGGCGTTCGCGCTCCTTCGGGTACAGAGGTCGCGTGCTGCGGGCGCAGCTCGTCGGGCACGGATGTCGGGGGGCGCGCAGGGTCTTTGGGCTCCGGGGTGTGACGGCGCGCGTGCGTGCCCGCGCCGTCGCCGGCGCGCCCCCCCCCCCCCCCCCCTCCTCTTGTTCCGAAAAAGACAAAGCGCCATGAACATACACTTTTGGCGCTCCGCGCGGCTTTCTCGGATCTGCGCTGGGCCCCCCCCGGCGGCGCCTCCAGCGCCGCCCCTGGCGCGCTCCGCGCGCCAGGCAAGGGGGGTCCAGGGCGCGCGCTCGGGAGCGTGGTGCGCAGGCGGGGTGAGGGGCATGGAGGCGTTCCTCTGCCTCAGACCTGCCTCCCTCGTGCCCTCTCTGCCTCCCTCGTGCCCTCCACCCTCCCCGGAGATCCGACGTCGCGAGACACGTGAAACACAGTAATGAATCACGACCGGATCCCTGGACCCCACCTTTCTGCGCCAGTTCTCAAGCTGGACAGGGTGGGCGGAAAAAAGCCCGGCTCGACGAAATTGAGTCGCCAGGATCTCAGGGCCCCTCCCTCTGGATGCAAGCCGATCCCTCCGACCCCTCCGGCACAGGGCTCCCTCGCTCCCCTCTGGTCCAGGGGGCCCTCCTCTCCTCGAGGAGGACAGTCCCCCTGGACTGGAGGCAGGGGGGGCCCCCGGGCGGGCGTGTGCCTTCTCCGAGGCCCACGGGGCCCCTCGGATCCCAGTCCGAGGCGGGGATGGATCCAGACCCACCGCCTGGGGATCGATCTTCGCGGACCTCCACAGGCGGTGGATATGGCTATTTGCGGGTTTTCCACAGGCCAAGCATGTCCATACCCAACGCTCGCTCGGGCACCAAGACGTCGGTTCCCAGGCTGTGGATCTGGATAAATCCCCGCCTCGCACCTGGGGACCTCAGGATGCCCACGCCGGCCTGACAGACGGCCCCTCGGCCTTGTCATCGCAGGACCGCGCTGGGGCACCGGCCTGCCCGCACCGCCAGAGCTTGCCAGAACGCTCTCAGAGCGCTCCGGAACGCTGTGAGCAGGCCGCGGCGCCCGAGACGTCCTCCAGAGCCGCCGGATCTCAGAGACTCGATCTATTCTCGCCCGATTGTATCCTCGTCCTGGCCTCGTCCCCAGACCCCCGACGTCACGATTTTTTCATTACGTCGACCCCCAGGGGTCTCGACCCATTCCCCAGGACGGGTTTTTCGTCCTGAGTCGTTTTTGACGGTCCCGAGGCCTGGTAAGGGTCCCCAGAGGCCGAAAATGGCGAAAAACCTCCCGCCGTGATTTTTTCACTGCTCGAGGGGGTCTAGGCCTCACGGGGCACCGGCCCGCCCGCGCCGCCCCCGAGGAGATGTCCAGGCTCCGCGAGGAGCTGCGCGAGCAGGCGCTCCGAGCGCCGCGCGGGGCTGAGGTTCCGGCCGGGGCGCGTGTGGGGCTGTGGGCGGAGGCCTTGGGCGGCCTCGGGCGGCGTGCAAACGAGTCGTAGGGAGTCGTAGGGAGTCGTAGGGATTCCTAGGGATTCCTAGGGATTCCTAGCGATCGTATGGATTCGCAGGGATTCCTAGGGAGTCGTACGGATTCGTAGGGATTCCTAGGGATTCCTGGCGATCGTACGGATTCCTTGCCGAGGCGAGGCGGGGCGAGGGGGAGGGAGGAGGGAGGGAGGCGGAGGAGCAGAGGAGGAAGAGGTACTGCTACCACTGCCCTTGCCTCGTGTTCGCCTCTTGTTGGGCCTCCCGGGAGGCCCTCGTCGCCGCCGCTGGACTTGCCTCGAAGTCCTGATCAGAACGCACCCGAGGACAGGTCCAGGGAGTAGAGGTATCAGTACCGTTTGGTTTCCCCAGAGGAAGGAGCGAATGAAGGCCGTACACGTTGATGAATCCACATTGGTTTCGAGGGTACGCAGTGCGCGAACGTTCGTATCCCGCGGCTGGTCTCGCGGACTGGGGCACCGTGTCCATTTACGTGGTTGGGCGCGTACGTCCTTTGTGGGTTCCCTAGAGGAGGAGGAGGCAGGCAGAGGAGGGAGGGATGCGGAGGAGGGAGGCGGAGGGAGGGAGGAGGGAGGATCGGATCGACTCGGCAGGAGGAAGCGTCAAGCCCCCCAGCGCCGTCGTGGAGAGGAGGGAGGAGGGAGGCGGGAGGACGGAGGAGTCCGCAGGAGGCCACCACGCAATTAAGAGCTGGTCCTCTGGGACCCGTCGCTTCACTGCCTCTCACTGGGGAGCTAGATATTGCGAAGACCTTTTGGCCAGTGTCGCCGATTCACCAGTGTGAGGAGGAGGAGGAGGAGGAGGAGGAGCAGGCGCAGGAGCAGGAGCAGGAGGAGGAGCAGGAGGAGGAGAAGGAGGAGGAGGAGGAGGAGGAGGAGGAGGAGAGGAGGGGCAAGGTGGAGAGCGGGGCCGGCGACGCCGATGACGACGAAGACTGAGACGGCCGCGGCTTCCATGCCTTTCACCAGGAAGCTGGATACATCCTCATATGGGGCGCTCTGGGAAAAGCCTTGCCTCCGGCGCATCCTCACCTTCGAGGCAACCTCGCCCTCGGCGGAAGCTGGCAGAAGGCCCGCGGAAGGCGGCGCAGATAAGATTAAGTCGGGCCTGTCCCTCTGCGGGGGGAATTTCCAAGAATAGTCAAAAATAGTCTGGGGACTATTTTTTGAGTATTTCTGGGCATCTTTTGAGTATGTTTTGGGTATTTTTTTATTTATCGTCCCAAATCCCCCTGTAGGGGGACAGGCCCGACCCAAAGGTAAGAGCCAGTTTTGGATCCAGGGTTCCCAGAATCAGCCACGTGCTGTGGCCAGCCTGGGCGACAGCTGGATGCACGTGTGGCCAGAGGCCTTTCGAGCGCTGGGCCCTTCTGCAAATCCTGATGATGATGCTGCTGCTGCTGATGCTGCTGCTGATGATGATGGCCATTTTTTATTAGTACAAAAATAGGTTGATGCTGTTATTGATGATGCTGCTACTGCTGAAGGTGATACTGCTGCTGCTGATGCTGACGATGATGACGATGCTGATGCTGCTGCTGATGCTGATTATGACAATAATGATGATGAGGCTGCTGATGCTGCCGATGATAATGGCGGTGTTCATGCGGCTGCTGATAATGATGATACTGATGCTGATGATGCTGATGATGCTGATGATGATGAGGATACTGATGCTGATGCTGATGCTGATGCTGATGATGGTGGTGGTGGTGGTGATGCTGCTGCTGATAATGCTGCTGATGACGTCAATGACGATGTCGATGATGATGACGATGCTGCTGCTGATGATGATGATGATGCTGATGCTGATGCTGATGCGGATGATCATGATGATGATGATCATGATGCTGACGATGCTGATGCTGACGATGATGGTGATGATGATGCTGATTCCGATGATGATGATGATTCCGATGACGATGATGATGCTGATGATGATGCCGATGATGCTGATGACGATGAGGATGCTGATGATGATGAGTATACTGATTATGATGATGCTGATGATGACGATGCCGATGATGACGATGATGATGCTGATGCTGATGGTGATGATGATCATGATGATGACGATGACGATGACGATGATGATGCTAATGATGAGGATGATGATGCTGCTGCTGATGATGATGACACTGATGATGATGCTGGTTATGATGATGATGATGATGCTGATGATGGTGGTGATGATGATGATGATTATGATGATGATGATGATGGTGATGATGATAATGATGATGATTATGATGATGACCATGAGGAGGAGGAGGAGAAGGACAAGGAACGTTCTGGATCGTTTTGGCAAGCAACGTCGTGCAGAGGAGAAGGGAGGGGAAGGGAAAGCAGCAAGCACAGAGCGCACCAGCCTTAAACGGCCACGACGCGAGCGTGGCGCAGCAGGGAACTCGCCTCGGGCGGCCCTGCGTAGCTCGGAAACAAACCTCGGCGAATCCCAAGTTTCAAGGCCCTTCCTAGAGCGCGCTTGGCACAAGAGCACCAACTTGCGCCTATCCGAAGTAGCCGTGCGGCCACAAACTTGGCAAACGTACAAGCTGGGCAAATCCCAGAACGCCAGCTTGTGCGAAGGATGCAAGGCCGAACCAGAAACCGAGACAGGCCCAGGGACCACGACCACGACGTCCGAAGGGAAGGGGTCAGCCCCCGCGGCAGGGACGCAAGGAGCTTGGAGACCTCTAAGAGGTCCTGCTTATCACAAAGCACCTCGCGCACTCTGCAACGAAAGGAACTGTTATACGTCACGAGTCTGTGCGGTGACACGCGAAGCGCTCGATCGAGCTTCGGCCCTTGCTTCGCTCTCTCCAAGGGGGCAACCGAGGGCCGAGCCTTCCTGGTACCGGCCAGGGACGAGTCGATCAAGGCACGGCGAGCCCGACGCCGAAGTAGGGCGGTCTGCACATCCCAAGAGTCGGTCCTGGGATCGGAAGGGGCCGAACGCTGCCAGGAAGGCTCAGCGGCCTCTGAGGCCGCCATGTCGGCCAAATGGCTTCCAGCCCGGAGGACAACCTGATGGTCTGAAAGGTACTCGGCCTCGAGGTCAAGGTGGGTGGCAGTCCATTCTAAGGTGACCTGCCCCTCCCCACGTGGGACAAGCGCAGTCTTAAGTCGGAGCCACAAGTCCCAGTTCTTGCCCCCCACCGCACTGGCCCGACCCCGCTCCCACACAGTAGCAAGGGGAAGGTGGTCCGTAACAGAATCAAGGGGACCTGTCGTGCCCTCAAGGCACAGCGCGAAAGCCAGGAGCTCGGAGCGAGGTACAATTTGAGACTTGCCAATTAAGATACCAGAAACACCCCCGATCACCTCCCACTGCGGCGTCCCTGGGATGATCCGGATCACCACACAAGCCGCGTCACAACGTCGGCGACGAGGATCGGAGGAGAAACGCCCCCCAGAACCGCCCCCGAAAACCACCAAGGCCTCGGAGCCGACAGAAGGCAACTCAATCAGGGACGTCGCGCCGAGGGGTTTCACCCCCTGGGCTTCAGGTGGGTCCACAAACTCACGGTGAGTGTGGTCGGTCGGGGGAACACATCTTAGCCACAAGCCTGGATTCA